CAGTGGACAGTGACACTCTCCGATATAGCCGACTGGCCAAAAATCGAAGCCGTTGCTGAATTTAGACTACGTATTGGACAAGATTGCCTGGCAAAACACCTTCACAGATTGGGAGATCAAAACACCTTCACAGATTGAGAGTATACACTCAACCCACATACTCTATGTAACCTACAGGAGGAAATGGAGAAGTCCCACCTGTCTATGTGACCTACAGGAGGAAACGGAGAAGACCCACCATATGTAACCTACATGAGGAAATGGAGAAGACCCATCTGATCTGTAACCTACAGGAGGAAATGGAGAAGACCCACCTGATGTGAAACCTACAGGAGGAAATGGAGAAGACCCATCTGATTCGCATACAGGAGGAAATGGAGAAGACCCACCTGATTCGGTGTTCAAAGGAGGAAATGGAGAAGACCCACCTGATTCGGTGTCTAGCCGGAGAAGACCCACCTGATTCGATGTCCAGCCCTAAAGACACGACGGAAAGCCAGAGATACTGGGAAGCAAGAAGACAGCTTACGGAAAGCCAAAGATACTGGGAAGCAAGAAGACAGCTACGGAAAGCCAGAGATACTGGGAAGCAAGAAGACAGCTACTCCGGAAAGCCAGAGATACTGGGAAGCAAGAAGACAGCTACAGGAAAGCCAAAGATACTGGGAAGCAAGAAGACTGCTAATGTCTGCTATTAATTAACTGCTATATATGTACCCCCCACCCATGGGCTGTGTTAATAACCGCTATAAATGTACCCCCCCCCCCTCTTGGGGAAGCTGAAGTCAAAGATTAAGGCTATAAATGTACCCCCCCCCCCACCCTTGGGGGAAGATGAAGTCAAAGTTTTTCCGCTATTGATTAACTGCTATAAATGTACCCACCCTTCCTTGGGGGAAGCTGAAGTCAAAGTTAAATTGCGAATGATACCCCTCCAATGTACCCCCCACCCTTGGGGAAGCTGAAGTCAAAATTCGGAAAACCAGAGATACTGGGAAGCAAGAAGACAGCTAATGAATTGCTGTTAATAACCGCTATAAATGTACCCCCCCCCCCTCTTGGGGAAGCTGAAGTCAAAGATTAAGGGTATGAATGTACCCCCCTCCCACCCTTGGGGAAAGCTGAAGTCAAAGTTTAAGGGCTAATGATAAATATCACAAAGCCTGCCGTTTGAAATAATAATATTCAACTGATTCTCCTTCTCTCCCATTTCAATATGACAGTCACATTTCAGATGTCTTCTGCCCAACTAAATGACACATTGGCTAAAGCGTTTTCATATGTAGTCATCAACTCTTGCAAGTTGTAAAAATTTATGAAAGTGCTAACGGAGTTTGTGTGTGTGCAAATGCCACGTTGGCGATTCTTAGCGTAAATGGTCAACTTTTTTTAATGCCAAGTTCTTATTACACAGAGTTCGTGTTAAACTTCTTGAAATCAGAATATACTGTCAATTGCATTTAAGTGAGACAACATATATTCTTCAGTCTGTAAATAAAGCCATTTATAGTTTTAAATCGGGGTGTGTGATAGACTTACCTCCACGTGGTACACCCTGGGCTACGTATACCCATACAGCAAAAAAAGCCAATTAACCGGTAGTTGGTTTCTGACTTCAAACTACCATGACCCCACTGGATGCCATATTCGACCCCTTCCACAGTACTCATATGGCCATTGCTCTGCCTTTGTGTCTATCTCTGTCTCTTTTACATCTGTGAATCGCTGTTCTTTTCCCCTGTCGAATTTTTCTCACTCTAATGCTCTTTCATTCTGTGAAGCCCGAAGTCAACTAAAGGGCTAATGATAACTATTAAAATGCCTGTCATTTGAAAAAATAAATAAATTTTGTTTCCATAAAGCCTGCCATTTGATATAAATAAATGTACTGCTATTTAAAATGCCTGTCATTTGAAAAAATAGTTTTGAATCACACGAACACGACTTTTATATTCTATCGCCTTTTAATTCCTCTGCGCCACACTATAAACCAACTATAAGTTCATGGTTAGGTTTTTAACTCTTTGTCCTAGTTATTCCTACCATTTAAATCTCAATGCCGTAAACTGCGGTCTTTCCTCTGTTTAACATTTGCCTTTACTCAAATACTTAGTCGAAAGCATGACCTAGCTCATTGTCTTAGAACTTGGAAAATTTGGAAATGAAGGTTCAAATTAAAGTTTTTTCTTATGTCCTTTACGATCAGAAATTGATAATTTGATGACTTCTACATTCAAAGTGTCCCTATAAAAGGCAGATAATGCCTCTATCTATTGGCTCTCTTGATCAAACAAGTCTTCTCGCAGTCTTTGACACCATTAATCCTTCAAAAGCTCCCATCTTTTCTATTGAAATTGTGGTGGATAATTTTTGGCATTTATCTATCTCCAGACCGTTTATTGGATAGGCTTATTTAGTAGTAGAGGAAACCTTGGGAATACCTGCAACAGAAATTACATTAAGAATCAATTTTATTTATTCGAAGCACTGATTCTATACACATTTTCTTTACGTTTTTTAAGTACTTTCTCAAATTAAATGTATACAAATGTGCAATTATCTTATTAAAACCTCTATGACTGTGACTTCAACAAAACTTAAAGCAGGATTTAGAATTAATTTAAAATGCACACATATGCTAACCATGCACACACAATACACAACATCTTCAGTGCAAAGTTATAAAATTTTTGTAAAGCTCCAATTTGACCTTAATCATATTCATACTTCCAAGGTGTTTGAGTTAAATGGTGGGTGGTTGAGGATACCCAGTAGTTTAATGTATTAAGTGATTTAATGCTTTCATGGCTGATCGTTTTTATTCCTTAATTGACGAATTTTCTTGACATTAATGTTTTCACTATTTCCAAAAATTCTACTTTAGTTGCCATCAGTTATAGCCATCTACACATCCTACCTATTTAAAGTAGGTTGACACAGGACATTTGTTCGATAGCATTTTTATCAAGTACTCATTGACCTTGTTTGCTTGTCATATTGATTACCCAGTTTGGAAATTTGAATAAATTTTTTTGGACTGAGTTAACGTGCTCACAAAATGGTGACGGTCGGTCAGCACTTTCGTTACTTTGGACGTTCCGTAAAAGGCTTACTACGTTATAAGTTACACACAATAGACAGTTTGACTCAATATGTTCGACATTCTATTCGTTTCACTACTAGTAATTGCCAAAGGAAAAAGACGTGTAGCATGGAGCACGTCTATTCAGTGAGTATATTGCGGATCAAGTGTACACGCAGGGAGCTACTCATGATCAGGTTGGGGGATTAGGTTAAACAGAAGTTGATGATTGGTCACTGTTTGTACGGCCGCTGCACACAGAGTTGTACGGCCGCACTTCCCATTCCTGGCGAGCAGACATGCAGGCATACGATGACGCACAGAGCGATGACGTGTCCCACAGCGTCAATGAAGCTCCCTGAGTACGCAATGTGGTAAGTAATTAGAAGCAACTTATTAGTTAAATGGCTTGATGTGTGAGTTGATTCAAAGTAGGCCTTTATTTTAGTATGCACTAATTACTTGGCTCAAACATTCACGGATTGTTAGGTCCACTAAATTTGGATCATGAACATTGTTAGTAGATTTGTAAAGTTTCGTCAAAACATGTTCAAGGCAATAATTACTCAGAAATTGCAAAATCTACATCTTTCACAATTTTCATTTACCACTTTTTTCTTCGTCAGGAAAGAAAAACATTAAAACAAAATAAAATAATTGGACTTTTTGATGAACACAGCCAAGTAAAGATTGCCATGGATAATGAGTCAAATGGGGTGGATTCATACTACATACGCATCAATATCTTCACAATGGTTTGATAATCTGATTTTTGAAATCGGATTACTTGTTAACTCTTTTCTCATATCTCGTTGTAAGATAAAGTGAAAAATATAGCCAATAAACGATTTATTCATTCACAAACTGAACCATATTTCTAATTCACTACTAGTGATATACTTTCTCACTGGAATATCATTTCATTCGCCTCTCAATTGTGCCATTTGGTGCCATTAAAGTTCCAAGTTTTTTTAAATAAGTATTAGTGACTTGCATTCAGAGTTTCTATTTCTGTTCTGGCAATCCTGACTCAACTCACCTTTAGTTTATTTTCCAATTCCTACCCATCTTGACCATTTTACGACTCTGTTGCTCCTCCCTTAAGTGAAAACCGAAGTCAGCTAAAGGGCGTTATCACAAAACAGAAAATCTTCAGGAATATGTTTGGAAAGTTTTAAATGTTTCATCTTTGGCCGTATTCATATTCGTATTTTCAAAGTATCAGAATAAATGTCATGCGTAAATAGTGGTTGAAAGCACCCAATTTTTCTCTAAGAAGAAATCTCAATTCCAATTAATTATGCACATTCTTATTAGTCTCTTCCAATTAAGTCATAAACGCACTTGTGTATTGATCAATTTAGCAGCATTGTTTTGTGCCAATTTGGCCTACCCATCACAACACTTCGCTCATTCTCACCTTGTCTGAACTAACGGTTTCGCTTGAGATGTTACGACCACGGTTTCATCGGTATCATGTGATATGTCAGCTCTTTCAAGAATTGCTGCATTTAAGGCATACGCAGTATGTGACAGGTCTCGTTTCTTATTAAAAATGATCATATTTCAAAATAATCGCAACTTTTTAAATAAGGGGCATATGCACCCAATCGCCTTATAAACGTATATTTTTTGAAATTCATAATATATCAATAAAATTAGTTATATTGAACGGGATTTTTTACTGCACTGATAATACTCTAGCAATCATAATTGTTATATCAGAGCTAATTATAAAAAGTAATAAAGTGTTGAGCTTCCATTGGCATTTAAACGAATAGACGAAGGATCTCACGAATTTGATGATAAAGGATTTACTGTAAAGCAAAGGACCTCGGAAAAGTTTACCCCTTTTCTTCAAAATAGTCAAGCCTAGAAAGAGCTCACAAGTGATGCGAGGAATTAGAAGGCATTTCTAATAATTTTCTTAGAATTTACAAATTACCTAGCGATGCAGATTTGCCCTTGTTCAATTTAGTTAAGGAAAAATTATCCACTTCCCTCCAATTGATATAAGTACCTTTATAGTCTATGAAGTGGTTTTGATTAGCTCAACATGGAAGCACAGGTTTCTCCACTCCTCAAGCTAAAGCGTTTTAATTCAATAACTGTTCCATCAGCGCTGTCAATATTTCCTACTTAACTCCGGGGAATAGTAAAAGGGAATGATATTCTAAATATGACGTCAACCAGTGAATGAGTTTTAAATAACTTGAACCCAAACTTGCAATGAAAGCAACATTTTACGAATTTGATAATAAAGGATTTACTGTAAAGCAAAGGACCTCAGAAAAGTTTACCCCTTTTCTTCAAAATAGACAAAGCCTAGAAAGAGCTCACAAGTGGTGGGAGGAATTGGAAGGTTTTTCCAATAATTTTCTCAGAAATGACAAATCACCTAGCAATGCAGATTTGTCATTGAGAGTCTATGAAGTGATTTCGATTAGCCTAACTTGGGAGCAAAAGTTTCTCCAATTTTCAAGCCCAAGTATTTTAATTCAATAACTATTTCATCAACACTGTCATAAAGGAATAATAGTCTAAATATGACGTCAACCAGTGAATGAGTTTTGAACAACTTGAACCCAAATTATAATGAAAGCAAAATTTTATTTTATTCTCACTTTGCTCATAAAATCAATTCTTCCGCCTATCTGTTCTGTAAGTGTTAGTGACTTACCATTAGAAATTCAATTTCTGTCCTGACAATCATAATTTGACGCACCATTAGTTTGTTTTCCATTACGTCTTTTGTAGGGGTTATGGAAAGGATAGAATTTGGAGTATGGCGTTCATGTGAGCATGTTACCACTATAATCAATTCTAACCTGCATAGCACTAATTAGTTATGACTAAATGAATTATCGCGTTTGGGTTAGAAGCGCTTCATGACCTCTTTCATATTTGCTTGCCTGCACATTTAGTTTCATCAAGTGAAAATAATATAGCGGTAGTACGATTTTCATTATTAACTTTTGAACGTTGCTTCATCTTTTGAGCTCAGTAGACAGATGACTTAAGTCCTACTTAACCGCAAGCAGTTAAATAGGAAAAATTTAACAAAATTGAAGACGTCGAAATCTCTAAACGGGCTACATCAGGTTCTGTAATTGAGATGTAAAATAAAAACTTAATTGTAACTGTTGCTGCAATGCATGCTGTAACTAAAGTAACCATAATCGCAAGGAATACATGAAATAGTCGAAATAATAAAAGCAAATCATCATGGATTTTCCTTCTGTGTTGATGAGTACACAGATAACTAAGACTAGAGTAAGAAGACGATTTCTGAGAGTGGGAAGAAACCCTGTTATGACGCGAGTGGTAAATTCAATAACCATACTCAAAAGGAGTATGTCAAATAATCGATATAACAAACCGTTGATGAGAACTCAGAAAAATTGTTCCCATCTTCAACGTTCGGTTTACTAACGTTAACTTGACACATTACTGTTAAATTAGCTGCTAAATTGGTCATGATGCCTCATGAAAACAGTGGTTCTACCTTCTTTTCAATTCGAATGGTATTTTCATGCTTTAGAAGTCAATCACTGATTGTAACAGCACTAGTCTCTATTCTTTATGAAAATATAAAGCTTTAAACATTCACCCAACACATCATGCAAACAAAGGAAAAGAAATACAAGTTATTTTCAATCAATATAGTATTTTAATAACGCCGTCCGCAAAGTTTAGTTAAGAAATACACAAACAACACAACTGCAATAGCCATAAAAATAACATTAACGAGTACAATAAATATTAGTGCGGATGAAATAGCATAGCTTTCATGCAAGAATTTGTATATTAAAAAAATGTTGACAGCACTGCAAATGATCCCCATGAAGAATTGCTGAAAGGGAAATAAAAGGTAAGTAGCAAAAATCAATCTTCGAAAAGAAAACAGGAAGTGTCACAATCAAACATTCTTTAAATTCTCTCAATTTCCGATGACCACATTCTTCTTGCAACAGGAAACTTAAAGACTGATTGCGTGCTAATTGACCATGAAATTTTAAAAAGTATTCAACACTGCCACTTGTCTTGAAAACTAATTACCAGCAGAAATGAATTTCGCAAGTATCCTGAAGGTGTTTGAACAATGGGACACAAATCGTATTTTATTGTCAAATTAAATTTTTTAAGTACACTTTATACAAGGCATGTTCCAAATAAGCATTTTGTCCAATTAAAAATGAAAATACAAATTGAAATTTTAGAGATTAAAGTTTTTGTCAAATTCTATTCAATATTTCTTTTGACATTTGCTTAAGCTGACATAAAAATCGATAAAGGAGTTGAATTGAAATCTAGTGGTATTTAGTGCCCTAGTACTGTCATCCACCAAAACTGTCGTCTGAATGGACTTGATGAGTGTGCAAATCTGCGTATCGACGACAATAAAGCTTTCAGAGTGACAAAACATTTCCCTGTTTATGGATAATAAAGAGGATACAAAGGCACTTACTGCAACCAAACAATACCACCGTTTATAAACGCCAGAAAGAGCTCCAAGTAGAGGTAATAATGAATTGAGAAGCATAGCGCCAATGGTGCATTTTAAGAATAATTTATAGCCATCAAGGAACGTTTCTTTTGCATTCAGTGAAACTGCGATGCATAAACCAGCGGTAAAAGTAATGATAAACGACTACAAATAAAATGAATTAAAATTTTGTGTGGTAAACTTACAATTAGGAAATAAACTGTATAGCGTAAAAAAACTCTTGTTTTGACTATAAATCTTGGCGTAGCCATGACTTTTCATATAACAGACAGTGGAGCTCCTACCTTTCTGCTTTTATACTGTGAAATTTTCTTGTTTTATGAAGCTAAAGTGAGGCTTATTGATTGAACAATAATTGAAACGACGAATAAGGTTTCTAATAAAATGTACCAGTGCGTTGACAACTAAGTCAGATGATGATCCAATCCTAAGTCTACATGTCTACAGTATGTTTACTGCGCTGGAGGAGGTCAAGGGATATCGCATTAGAACTCTTACAGGTTAGATGTGGGGCGGGGGGGGGAGTTAAGAATGCTCTTTTTGTCTTAAATATTTGAGAAAAAAATGTGACAACTCCTGCAGCAACATTTATGTCCAAAGTCCTATTAAGTTGAATGAAGTACTAATTTTGGGAAATTTTTCATCACATTTCGTGTTGAATAAGTAAAATTTATTTATTTCAAATGGCAGGCGTTTTTGTAGTTATCATTAGCCCTTTAGTTGACTCCGGGCTTCACAGGGGGAAGGAACATCAAAGTAACAGAAAGTCGAGGGGTTTTCAAAGGGGGAAGGAACATCAAAGTAACAGAAAGTCGAGGGGTGAGGAACATGAGTGATTTATAGATGTAAAGAGACAGACATGAAGGCAGAGAAAAGGTAGGATGAGTACTGCACCAGAAGTCAATTGCCAGTTAATGGACTTTTATGCCGTATGAGTATACCTTGCCCAGGGTGCACCACGTGGAGGTAAGTCTATCACGCACCCCTAAATGAGTAAAAGTTAGGCATGCATTATATCATGCGGAGGTAATTATTTAATTTTTCAAGACTATGATTTAAATAGTGCCTAATGGTAAATTTTAAAATGTTTTAATGTACAAACATACTTTGGCACCTCAGTTCGGGATGTGCGATGGACTTACCTCCACGTGGTACACCCTGGGCAACGTATACTCACTTGGCAAAATAGACTATTAACCGGCAGTTGACTTCACACTTCAAACTACCATATCCCTACTCTGTCATATTCCACCACTTCCACAGTACTCACCTCACCTTTTTTTTTCTACCTTTGCGCCTGGCTCTTTTACATCTTTGGAACACTTTTCTGTTCCCCCTCCCTCTCGACGTTTTTCACTTTGGTGTTCCTCACCCCCTGTATAGCCTGAAGTCAACTAAAAGGCTAATGATGACCATCAAAACACCTACCATCTGATATAAATAAATATCATGACAAAATATTGCTATGCTCTTCTCTAGATTTCAACAGTGATGCAATATCGCATTTAGATAGAGTTATTTAATCGTCTACTTCACTAATGAATTCATTGTTTCGCTACGTCGATTCGTAAATGCCAGAAAAATAAGTCAGTTTCATTTTATATCACTGTGAGTAAGAATGTCACTGCAAAACGGTCGAATTGGTTAAACCACTGTTGTTTGGACAATCACTTTGAATAGACCTACATCACAATATTATTTGTTTTTTTTTAATTGAAACATTTCAAACTTATAGTCTGTTTTGGCTTACCAACCACATTGTTAGAAAATATCTCTTCCTGTTATATGAGCGATCTCGTCGATTGTAAAAAATTTAGCCTTACCGTAGTTCATTTTTAAATTTTCCTATTTTACTGGTTTTACTTATGTTAATCGCCATTTACTCATCTTTTTACATTATAATCCAAATACCCATTTTCATTGTCTTTCAACCTGTTTTGGGTACAAGTTGGCATTAGGAAGATCCACGAATAGGTCGATTAGCACGAAGGAACCATCGTTTAAATCGAAATTAAAAACGATTTCTCGTAATTATTTAAAATTTCAAAAATGCTCT